AAATTAGATTATCATTTTTTTAATTTTTTTTAATTTTCTTTTTTTTTTTGGTACCTGTGGAGATTCCACAACTAAGAACACAAACTTTGTCGAGAGGAGCGAGGGGGTTAATCTTGGCAAGACAGCCAACGTGGACTACCGTGTACTCGCTGAAGGTGGATGTTCCAACAAAATGGAAAATTGGTTTGCCATTGATTGAGAATCTTGATTTTTGATCATGGATCATCACTCTCCTGTCTGTGTTGATCCTAAGGAGATCACACATGTTGCTCTCTTCAGATTTACAGTGAGCACATTCCTTGCATTCCCCTGTAAAGACTGGAAGGACATGATCACCCAGTGCAAGATCAGTCACTCCTTCTCCAACACTCTCCACAATCCTGCAAATCCACCAAAATCAACAAAATTCATATTTTCAATCCATAATTACATAACCCATTTCATTTTAGGCTTCAACAATAAACAAGAACAAACAATTTGATTGAAATTAAGATTTTCTTGGAAAGAAATCAACTTACCCTCCTGCCTCGTGGCCGAGGATTCGAGGAAAGATGGGGTTTTGGCCCTGCAAGATTGAAAAGAACCAATTTGGGTGTCACCATGGTGGCTTGAATTTATTGAAATTAATGTAAGTGAAAATGAGTTACCTTGGCTTCCCAGAAGTAAACATCAGTGTGGCATAGAGAGGTATAGAGGATCTTCACACGAACCTCCATCTTCTGCGGTGGCGCCACCTCCACTTCTTCTATCACCAGTGGCTTCCCTGCTTTCCTTGCCACAGCAGCTGCCACCAAAAAAAAGAAAAAAAAAAAATTTGAAGAAAGACTTTGTTAACCAATCATTTTCAGAAGTAGAAACAGTATTATTTTTTGAAGAGCTTGCTGAACTGTTTCTGAAAACCGTTTCGAAAAAAAATTGACTCCAAAATCAGTGATGATGATATTATACAAACCTTTGCAGCGAATGACTTGACCAGCTGTGTTTGACATCTTTCCTTCTTCACTGGAAATAAACTGGGACTCTAAAGCTTATGCGATTGTTTGTGTGAGATGATGGAAAGGCTCTACTCTAAATGCGTTATTTATACGAAAGATTGGAACATAGAAAGCGAATAAGAGCTCTATACCACGTAATATAAATTAATAACAGTTGCAATTATAAGATTATTTTAGTGGCAATCATGTATGATTTAATAGTTGTCTTTGGGGCTATTCTATAAATTAATAATAGTTGCAATTTATAAGATTATTTTTGGCGTATTTACGTGTAGGTGGACTTATTGTGTAATAAGTCCTATGGAAAAAATTTGTCAAAAAAAAAGTTACTAATTGTAAATTTTAGCAATAATTTATAAAAATTATGATAAAAAATCACTAATTGTCACTTTTTAGCTACATATATACAAAATTGTCACAAAAAAATTATTTTCAGCGACCAGTTTACCAAGACTTATTTTTAATAAGATTTGATAGAAATTAAGTCTAACTATTATGACTTATTGATAGTTTACCAATTATTTTTAATGGTAATCGTGTGTGATTAAATAGTTGCCTTTGGGCTATTCTATAAATTAATAATAGTTGCAATTTATAAGATTATTTTAGTGGTAATCATGTGAGATTAAATAGTTGTCTTTGGGGTGGACTTTAATAAAATATCTAAAAATCATCATTTGGTAAAGTGGATACAATAGGCCACGCCAAAACCATTCCCGGATTTTTGGTTGCTGGTATTTTGGGATTGAGCTTTTATTTTAAAATTATTTTTGAATTTTGGTAGTTGGTATTTTGAGACTGGACTTTTATTTTACAATATCTTACAAAACCATTCTTAAGTTTTGGTAGCTGGTATTTTAGGCCAAAGTTTTCAGTTTTAGTATAATTTTTTTTTTTTGTAAATTTAAAAATCAGAATTAATATAAATAGTGTAAAATATGAAAATAAATAAAATAAAATACAGTCTCAGTGTAAAAGATATAATAATATCGTTTTTTTTATTCATATGACTAAAATTAATGATAAAAATTGACTTACGAGGAAAAATTATTCATAAATTCTATTTTAAGGAATGTTAGTCCATTTAGTCTTACATGTTTTCTTATAAACCGAATTGTCATTTTTATTTTTGATAGGTATTATTGATTTGATTTAGTGATATTAGAGTTTACTTGTTTACCCTTTTGTTGAGATTTGATTTTGATGTTTGTTTGGATTGTGGGTAAGCTGCAGGCGCAAGGATCCTCTAGAGTAATCCTCTATAGTGATCTCCCAAATTACTTAATCCGACGGTTGAGAATAAAACTCACCAAAACGACGTCGTTTTGGTGAGTATTTTGAAGGAAAAAAAAAATCAAATTCAGGGATTTCAAAATTTCCCCCATATGACTGAAGAACTATACAGACGGCGAGAGTGCGAAGGAGTTCGAAGGAGTTCGAAGGACGACAAGACGAGGGACGAAGGACGACAAGACGGTGGACGAACGGCGGCAGAAGCAGACGAACCACGACAGAGGACGGAGGACGACGAACCACGACGGAGGACGAACGGGAGCCTGCGACAGCGAATCTGAGGTAAACCTGAAATCACAAAGTTAGGGTTTATGTTTGGCTTCAATTTTTGTAGAAATTAGTCGATTAGGAGTGTTTGGGGTTAGATTTTGTTTGCTATTTGTGTTAGGGTTTGGGATTTGGCTTTAATTTGTGATATGTTAGGCTTTGGGATTTGCCTTTATACCTGTGATCAAGAATGAACTCTGTGTTCACATTCTGCACACTGTGTATGTTGAAAAATTGAAATTTAAATGACTTCTCAAAGCCCTAACACAGGAATTACGGAATGAAGGTTATGAACCAGATTTGGGCAGCCAGACATAAACCAGATTTGAATGAACGAAATTAAATCTTGTTTTTTTGTCCTTAATTTTGGACCAATTTTATTTCCTTAAGTGGTTTTCAACTTATTTTCCCAAAACCCAGATGGTTTCTTGAAGTTGTGTTTTGGATTTGAAGTTGTGCTTTCAAAAACGATTTCATTGAGTTCTATAATTAGTTAATTGAAGTTGTATTTTGAAAGCTCATGTTTTGAAGAAAAACCAAAACACCCCCTTAGATTTGAGAAAATAAGTTATTAAAGGATATGTTCTTAGAAAATAAGATGCCAAACCACTCAAGTTTGTTAAAAAAGGACATGTATTTTGATGACAAGATGATGAATTTTATAGAGATGATTGGCATTTTCATTGGAAAAGCAGTGTTCAACTGGTATTACCAAAACCAAACTAATACCACCAAAGTTATTTGTTTTTTAATCTTAAATTTGTGAAAGAAAAAAATAAAGAAAATATATATAAATAATTGAAGAAGCTTTTTATTTTTTATTCTTTATTCTTTTTTCTTTTTTCAATTTTCTTTTCCTTTTTTCCCCCTCTCTACAAACCCGATATCCTAAGTATTGTTCCACACCCAAACATAAAATAAAATTAAAGATGAAAACAAGTAAAGGTAATGAACAGATTAAACATTGCAAAAGCCTATTGCTTTCTACACTAACAAAGGTAGATTGATAGTTACAAAATTACACTTAGGAAGAATAATTGTCAGAAGCACAGATCCTGAAGAGAACAATTACAAAGACATCTCTGTAGGACTCTTCAGAAAAGATAAACACTTCCAATGAAACCTGCACTGAGAGGACAATGAAGATTGCTTAATGAGAAGCTGAACAGAGGCTGCAATCAAAAGCTCAAACCCAAAAACACAAAATCATGATGTTTTCATTAAACTTCACAGCCATTCTTCAAGCAACCTTGGCATCATAATTTGATTCTTATTTATAGGATTTCTAGTGTTTGTTTCCTTTCTTTCTTATTTACAGTAGAGTATAGTTAAAAAATCATGATGTCTTCTACTAATAGGTAAAACAGATTGAGAGATAAAAAAATAGAAAGAACGTCATCTTCTACTAATTGATAGTTGAATCTGTTGGTATTTTTTATGCAGATAAACAAATGGCTTCATCTTCTACTAATAATACGAACTTAAGATTAAAGCCAAGGTTTTGTAATTGTGGAAGAACAGCTTCCATGCGTATTGTACGAACCAATGCGAATGGAAATGAAGGACGTGTCTATTTTGTTTGCCCAAGAAAATATGTAAGTACCTGTTATATAAATGAATCTGTTACTTTTTACAAATTTCATTTGTCCTTTATTGATTAACTGATTCTTGTCCATTGTAGACTACGAACGACCACTGCAATTACTTGAGGTGGTTCGCGGATGATGACGACGACGACAACGACATTACCTCATCAACTTCAACCAATGCTGGACCTCGGACAGATTCAAGAACATAAGAAATTAATGATCTAAGGAGAAGGCTTGGTGAGCATGATAGAAGGCTTCAAAGGATGGAGAAGATTTTCAAGGCAATGACTTATGTCATTGTATTTTGTGTATTTTTGTACTTTATCATGTAAATGACTCAGTTATTAGGTTTTGGAACATGCTATGAATGTAATCTACTTTTCTACTTGTTTTGTAATTTTTTTTTTTTGGTGCTTAAAAATCTGATGGCTTGCAAAAACAAGTGTATAACAGGTTGTTTGAGAAGAAATGTGTTGAATGAACAGTTTGTGAAATCTATTGAATTATGTTGGTTGCTTAACAGTGTGTATTATATGTAATGGTTTGAAAAAAACAGGTATATTGATTAACAATGTGTTGAATGAACAGGTGCTTAACAGTGTATTTTTTTGGACAATGGTTGAACATGTTGAATTGAAATGTGTTCAACGAACAGGTTGAACAAGTTGAATAACAAGGTGTTCAATGAATAGGTTGAAGGTGTATAACAGGTTTCTTTAAGATGAAATGTGTTGAATGAACAGTGGGTATTGATTATGAACAGTGTGTGAAATCTGTTGAATTATGTTGGTTGCTTAACAGTGTGTATTATATGTGATGGTTTGAAAATGTTGTATGAAATGTTCAATGCTGTATATCATGCCATCAATGACCTATAACGTGAAGTTTGATGCAATCTTACATCAACCTGAATATCATGCCCACACCTATCTTTCACATTTTCAGATCTTGCTTTTTTAGTCCATCTCTTCAGAATATATTGTGAAGGAATCTCTTTGAATTTGAGTCTTTCTCTAAGGATCTTCAAACAATGACTACACAAAATGCCCTTCATTTCAAACTTCCTACAATTGCAAGTGACTGAATAATCACACTCCTGCCTCACCTTCCTCACCTTTATACCATCACTATCAAGAACCGTATAAACGGTACTCTCACCATCATTTTCAATTTCTTCAATGTTTACTTCAAGGAACTTGACATACTCATCCTGAAATTCTTCAAAAATTTTATTTGTGTAAACATCTGCAGCTTGCTCCATAATCTTCACTTTAATATTCACTCTTGGCAACTTTTGGCATAGAGCATATTCGGCTTGTAACTCTTTGTACCTCTTGTCAGACAGAACTCGATCAAAATGCATGAAAAATTGCATTAAGTTATGATCAGACTGAATGAAATCCTTCAAGAAAGCATTAAAGGATTCACTAAGTTGGGTGCTACTCATGCCTGCACCCCATGCATTTCTAACATATGGCCAGCCCCATTTTTCCTTGATCCCAAATGTTAACTTCAACCAATGATTATTTCTTACTTCATACTTGTCAAGCATTTCCTCCGATTTTAACGTAAACTCTTCCTCATCCTCAATGTCGTACATAAACGTGGATAAACACTCTTCATCCCCTTATCCTTCACTGTTTTATCCTTGAAGATAGAATTTGCATGCCTTAATGCATTTTGCATCAAATGTCAAGTGCAAAGGCGGTGGGTTATGTTAGGCATGACAATAGGTATGGCCTTAGCCATTGCAGCATCCTAATCCGTAAAAATTGTTTTTGGAGCCTTACTTGACATTGCCTCCAAAAATCTTCTAAAAAACCATAAAAAAGAATCGGCGGTCTCATCATACATCAAAGCTGCACCAAATATCACAGTTTCCCTATGATGGTTAAATCCAACAAAAGACGCAAATGGTTTATGTGCACTATTTAACTTGTAAGTAGTGTTGAAAGTCACAACATCACCAAATTGCCCATAATCCATGATCATCTGAGCATCGGCCAAAATATGTTTGTAATCTGCTCCTCGTTATCTAATTGGACCGAGTAAAAAAAAGATGGATTCTCCAATGATTTGTCACAAAAATATTGCAAAATGCTACCTGCCTCCCCATATGCTAAACTGTTTTGCCTCTTCGTTCTCAAATAATTTTTTTGGTCCAGTTTTGTGAACCCAAGTGACTCCCTTCCACCAACTTCATTACCCATGAGCTCAAATGCAGCATTAAGACGAATTCCAGATTTTTCAGCTAAATCTATTTCGGTGCCTGTGATGCAGATATCTTCCTTTGGGATGGTAACATATGTGTACATTCTGTTGATACAAAGATATGATTATGTTGTTCAACAAAATCACTAACAAAAAATTTCTGCATATTCCTATCCCACTTAATGACAAGTCGGGCTTGACAACCAGTCCTCACTTCCTGCCTAGGATTTTTTGTTAATGGATCTCGCTTGTCGACGACCCAAAATACCTCCTTATTACAAACAAATTGCCTTGAAGTGATTTGCCCCTCTTTGCTCTTGTTTACATAACCCCTTCTAATACTAAAGCCCAACCTTCCTCCGTAAGTATTATAGAAATCATATGCTTCTTGTTCTGTATCAAATGTCATGCAAGCTCTAGGCTTCCAATCACACTCACCCCTGTCATTCTCATGATTGTTAGGTTCCATATCAATTTGCCAAGTCACTTAAAAAATAAAGAAGTGCTCAATATTAGCATAAAAACTGTAAATTATGTTTGCTAAATAATACAAATTGAATAAGATAATCAACGAATAACAGAAATTAGATAATCAAGGCACACAAAAAAAATAGAAATTAACAACAACCAAATGCCAAGTGCAATATGCTATCTTTGTGGTTAGAGTTCCAGTAATAAACTTTATTTCAGGAGGGTCAATATGCTATCTTTATATTCATATTTTTCAAATGATTTTCAACAATGAAGTCAATCAAGCCTTCAAAAGACACTGCCACTCAATTTCTATTTAAATTGGACAAAAAGTCTAATAAGCCTTATCTGTGGACTCCACTTTGAAACGAAATGCCATTTGTAGTAACAAGACAATTTAATAGCTACAAGCCCATAAACATCATTTAACAAGTCAATATGAATTATCAACACATTTAAACATCACATATTAATCATTTCACCAACTCAAATTTTCATGTTGTTACGTGTTGTGCATCAATATGAAATAAGATAGGTTTAGTTATATAAAAATAAAAATAAAAATAAAAAACTAGAGATATATCAGTTATAATTTATATGAATGGAAACATAGCTGATGGTCTAAGCTAGCTCTGATTGATAATGTGAAATGTAGAAAATGTAAAATTAGAAGCAGTTGTCATGACTGTTAATGCCAGAATTTAGGACATGTGCAAGACTCAACCAGGATTTCTAAACCTGATGAGATGAACTAAAAGAAGGTAAGTCAGTACCTAAAAATCAATGACCCAGAACACAGTCAAGGGAATTCATTCCAGTTTCAAAACTTGTTAATCTTACTCTTGATTCAAATTCCATTTTATTTGACAATCATCTGAACATGTTGACAGTGTTTCCAACTATAAAATTTCATTAAAAAATTCATCTTTTCCCAACAAAACATAAACTTTAATATATCCCCCATTTTTTTTCTAAGGTTGCATATACTGTGTGTATATATATATAATGTATAATGTATATATATATCTATTATCATAGGGATTGAGCAATATTCAGCACAACACAGATGAGGCAAAAAAAAATTGTGTGGTTGAAAATTCTATATTTCAGCAAGATTCAGCAATATATATCTATTATTCAAGGCTGTATAATGTGTCTGTATATAATATAATCACCTATATTTTCTTTAATTGGTTGGAGCAGGGGCGACGGCCACGGCGGCGGCAGGACAGTGGCGACGGCAGGACGGCGGTGACAGCGGGGCGATGGCGATGGTGGGGCGACGGGATGCTCTTCACGACGGCCAACTCTTCTTCGTTCTCTCGTTCTTTCTTTGCTTCTTCCCGCCGTCTGTATAGCTCTTCGCGTTCTTCAGCCATATGGGGGGAATTTTGAAATCCCTAAATCTGAATTTTTTTTTTTTTTTTTCAAAATACTCACCAAAACGACGTCGTTTTGGTGAGTTTTATTCTCAGCCGTCGGATTAAGTACTTTAGGAGATCACTCTAGAGGATTAACTCTAGAGGATCCTTACGCAAGGTGTGGGGTAACATTTCTATATTTTTTAGGAATTTGGTAGAGCGATTGGGGAGATTGTTGATGTTATTTACGCGATGTGTCATTATTGATGTTCAATCATTTGTGATTCTTTGAAGAGGGTGTGCTGGGTTTACGATTTTTTTGGTGTTCATACAAGGGTTCAGAGGGAGAGGGCTATGCAATTTTTACCAAGTTGGTGTTTTGTTTTTTTCTGTTTTTTTTTTTTTTTTTTTTTTTTTTTTTTAGATGTGATTTTTGACATTGTGTTCTCTATTGTTGTTTGCGGTTTGCTACTAATGTTTGCGGTGGAAACTCACACAGTTTCTGTCTAGGGTTGTTATCTTCGTAGTGGTAGCATTGCAGGACATTAGTTTATGTTCTTTCCAAATGTTGTGGGCCATTTTATGACTATGTTATTTGGTTTCTGTTATCTACAATATTACTTGTAATTGATACGATGTTGACAGAAACAAAAACAATACATCATGTGGGCTTGTAGCATTAACAGTTCATAAGTTTTTCCATGAATGTTGTAACATTTGAATAGTTTGTTTCAGTTACATCATTTTGTAATTTACAACGTTATTGCCGGGTTCTGTTTTTCTTCAAATTGTTCTAGGTATGGAGTTTGTCATTTTGCTTTTGTGCATATTCGGACAGGCGAATGCAGTTGCTCGTCTACGCAAACAATAAACACAACATAACAACACTTTGTCCATCAAAAAGCATACAACTATTATTCCCGATTTCAGCATAAACAACATTATCATAAACAACCAAAAATCGCAATTTCAAACCACAAAACGACTTACAAACCCAAATAATCTTTGTTGGCCAACATTAACCCTCACATACTCAACTCAACATCATACATTTCACATACAAACATCTACACACCTACTCATATTTTCAAATCATTTACCCTCCAATTACCACCCAATTACAGTTCCATCATAGCCTCTACAATTACTTACATGAGATGCAACAAACTTGTCAACGTTAACCCCCAACAAATATTAACAAACGCATAACATAACATCAACAGACTCCGACAACTCCCCCAATATTAAATGCCATTGCCACCCATGACCCCCACAAACAACAACCTTCCGACTAACCGAACCAAACGTAAAACAAATATCTTATGAACATACATTCGTAACCTCACTACCGTTGCAACGTCAAATTATCACAACACCTAACCACACACACACCCAGTTGTATACAACACAACACGTACATCAACAAACAAAAAAAAATGCACCTCGACTGCCCATCAACAACATCCCCACCCTGTTCCCAAATAATAATAGTATCACACATTCAGACACACCTAACATCTATCATGTTTGCATAATTATGGACAACTACCCATACAACATCAACACAACCCACATGGAGTTCTCACCCGTGTAATCACTAACATCCATCCACACCAAAATCACATTACTCACACATATACATAACAAACATATCAAACAACTACATTATTCGTCCATCTTCAAAAATAACATGAACCTAAAGCCCATTTTTTCCTAGAAAATACTTTCGTTACAACACATAAACACATCGAAATGCCATTTTACACAAACAGTAAACAAAACATAACAACACTTCATCCATTAAAAAGTATACAACTATTATTCTCGATTTCGGCATAAACAACATCATCATAAACAACCAAAAATCACAATTTCAAACCACAAAACGATTTACAAACCCAAATAATCTCCGTTGGCCAACATTAACCCTCACATATTCAACTGAACATCATACATTTCACATACCTACTGCCATAGCAGGACAACACCAAATCACTGACGCCGTTAGTTCATCGACGTTACGGACTCACCGACGTGCAGAGGTCAAGAATCCTCAGTTCTCACGGCAAATAGCTTCTACAAATGTTAACGATGCATAAGGCTTTTTGGGTTTCTAGGGTTTTTGTGGGTCGCGTGCTATGTTACTGTGGGGTTGAATATAGGAGGGTAAACAATGCAAAATGTGAATATTCAATCACACAGGATGATGATTGCAATCGCTAACATTGGGATAGAAACCTAGAAGTTTCCATTATATCTCGACCATTTTGTTCGAGATGGAGGGAAAACATAAAAAAAGGCTTATAGTAAACTTTTGGGCATTTTGGTCACTACAACATCACTAAAAACTTACATTTACCCTCTAGCAAAACTAGGGCACGTGTTAATTACATGGGTATATAAGTAATTAACGTTCAAATAGGACCTGTCAGCCTACAAAATAAAAGGTAGGACTAAATGGTTCAACACATTACAATTTGGGATTTATTGGTGCTTTTCCCTAAGTGTAATGTGAATTAAAACATTAAACACCTTTCTCGGCCTTTTGACTAAGATC